GTGAGGGTGGTGAGGGGTGAGGGTGGTGAGGGTGGTGAGGGGTGAGTGGGGTGAGGGAACAGGAGCTAATTATTCACGGAGGTAATTAGGGAGTTATTGGTCAATTTTGGTGAGAAAGTTCAGGTAATGAGAGAAGTTTTAGGCTGAGGAAATGAGATATATATATATTTACCTCACAACAAACTTAGTGAGAGAAAAAATTACCTCACAAAAGAATGAGAGAAAATATTTACCTCACAACAAACTTTGTGAGAAATATATTTATCACTTAATTGTTCTCCTTACGTGACCTTATCTCCCAATTATCTCTCGGCCTTATCTCCAGCCTGCTATCGGTCTCCTAGATATCTCTCCCATCTCTGTCTCCTACCCTTCACATAGTGTATTATGAGATACTGTATATGGTGTGGCTGATAAGGTAAAAAGGGTGGTACTGGATTAACAACAGCAACAATAAAAACAATAATAACAATAGTAATAACAAACAGAGAGAGAGAGAGAGAGAGAGAGAGAGAGAGAGAGAGCTGGCTAATTGTTAGTTAATAAGATCTTGCATGTTCCACCTCCCGCCATATGGTGCACAACAGCCCCGGGGGGAGGAAGAGAAGGGGGAGGGAGGGAAGATGGTGGGGAGGGAAGGTGGGGAGAAGGGTGGGGAGGGAAGGTGGGGGGAGGGAAGGAAAAGTAGGGGAAAAGAAGGTAGTGGGGGAAGGAAGATGGTGGGGGAGGAAGATGGGGGAGGAAGGTGGTGAGGAATGGGTGAAAATATCACCACAGATGCGTCATACAGGTGTAAGTACCACCACAGATGCGTCACACAGGTGTAAGTACCACCACAGATGCGTAACACAGGTGCAGGAGTCGCTCACCACACCTGGCGCGTCTCCCAGAAATAATTTTCAAAATGAGTTCTGAGTGAGGCTCGGTAACTGCCACTGTCCGCTATGCTCTCCTCTAATTACCGTTCACAGTTGAGGAAAAATAAAAAAATCGAAGTTATATATTTTTTTTTACAATCGAACACAAGAATATTTCACAAACGAAGTCATTCCGAACAGTAAAGCATATTATAATTCAGTAACCGAATACTCTCGCCTTCATTCATTTATAAACGAACAAGTTATCGAACATAGATATTTCATTTCATACACTAGGGTGAAATATATCCCATCCGAACACACACGTAACTAACACAGAAATCACATAAACCGGACACACTACTTAAATGTATACAACCGGATATATTTATTTTCACGTATAAAATAAATAAAATCTTCATAACCAACCCCTGATGTTAATATGACCGGTACATGACGGTCACTTAAGAGTCAATAACCGAGCACAGGTAATTATTATTATTATCAGTAACCGGACGAACTGTTATATTGTAGATGGTCAGTGAACACAGGGGAGTGAACGTATTACCTGCACACACACACACACACACACCGGTTCTCAGGTAAAACTGGACCGTAATTACATACATTACGTTACTTTTAACTCATAACAACATCCTAATTACACCATATCTCCTACACCCAACTGGTAGACGTCTGGCTGTATAGACCATCTTTAAACACAAGTAAAACAATAACATAAAAACAACAACAGAATCATAAAAAACAAAACATGAACACTACAACAATATTTACAAATGATGTTAATGGATCCTCCACTATGGTACGTTCGTTAACACACACACACACACACACACACACACACACACACACACACACCAAAAAACAAGATTGCTATGAGTTGACTTTATATTTCCTGCAACACAGAGAAAAAGTTTTGGTACACACACACACACACAACCACCTACTTCGGTTTAGTCAACAAAACTCCTCACACTTTGACTTAACTAATGGAAGTTTATCACGAGTGAGGGATTTTTTGTTTTAGTTTTTTCACCTTCAAGAACAACCGGTACTACATAGCCACAGGTACATTGATTAGTTCTTAATCACCTTTGTATATTAAAATTCAACAGTCGAGTCAATTATTAAAGTCCATTCACCTCTCCCCCTGAACCACGAACCCCCGAGAGATTCATCAGAACTCGTGAATCTGAAGCATTTATGGACAGAATAAATGTATCAGTCTACTGCTTCGGGTTCACGAGTCTGAATCTATTGGTGGTTCGTGGTTCAAGGGGAGAGGCGACCAACAAGACTTTAGGGGTTGGTTGACTGGACACTGAAGGATACTTTACCTTAACCAAGACTTAATATAGTTAGGTCATGAAGAGCGTGAAGGAATACTTATAAAAAAAGATTCCCTCGTGAGCCCAAAATACTAATAAGTTAGGTCAGAAGAGGCGTGAATTGGACTGACTGAACGAATACACACACACACACCAAGAGGGTTGATCGGGGTGTATGACTTGTAACTAACATACAACAATAATTAATTTCAAAATACAAAGTAAATACAAAAAAAACTGTACTAGAGAGAGAGAGCGAGAGCGAGAGAGAGAGAGAGAGAGAGAGAGAGAGAGAGAAGGGTTAGGTTAGTGTTAAATTGGTTAAAATTTAGGTGAAATAAGCTGTGGTTAAGTTTCTGCCGGTTAGACAGATAGACAGACAGACAGACAGACAGACACACACAGACACACACACACACAGCGTAGAGAGAGAGAGAGAGAGAGAGAGAGGTTTAGTTTTAGTTGCAAGATTGAGCCAAGGTCAAGATGACAGCTGAAGGAAGTCGATGGTCCGCTGGTGTGTGTTGTGTGTGTTTACTGCCCAAGCTCTCCTGTCTCACTCAATGGTCTTATATTATGGTGAAAAGTATTACCAAACCTCTTTTTTTTTTAACTGTGGGTGGCTGATGTCTGTCTGCTTGTCTGTCTGTCTGTCTCTAGCTTACTTAGCCTAAAGATTAACCGCCCTAACAGACGTCTATTGATATAATCCGTTAAATAGAGGTCTCACATCTAACAGACCCTCGATATAACGGACTTACTTATCCCTAATTCCGTTAAATAGAGATGCCACTATGTCACACAGACGGTAAGCGAGGTGTAAAGCAGTCATATCTGAGGGTTGGCGACCACAGTCCTCCACTTTAAACGTTCTGGGGCTCTTTTTACCTAACCTAACCTGATCTACCCTAACCTGTGACCCAAGCATTCGTAACATAAGATACAGTGACGGTAGCTGGTGTGTGTGTGTGTGTGTGTCACCACTCCACCCACGCGACTGATAAACACACACACCGCCACCGCTCTTATCAGCCGGGAGTGTGTGAGAGGATGAGCCACTGTCGGGTATTGTGTGTGTGTGGCGTCCATCAGTGACTGTTACAAGATAAAACCACTCTCTCTCTCACTGTTGCTGTATATATTTGTTACTGAACCAGATTCTGTTTGTCCATTGGTCTAGACTTGAGTAACGTGACTTAACCTAACTTAACTCAAATTTGAGCTTGCCTAACCTAATCTAAACTCACGCTAATTCTACTTTACCTAACCAAACCTAAACTAACGCTAACTTGACTTAACCTAACTTAACACTAACTTGAGCTAACCTAACCTAATCTAAACTAACACCAATTCTTCTTTACCTAACGACGCTAACTTGACCTAATCTAACTTAACCTAACGCTAACTTAACCGAACGCTAACTTGACCTAACCTAATCTAAAGTAACGCTAACTTAACCTAACGCTAACTTAACTTCACCTGAACTCACCTAACCTAACCCATATTAGGTTAGGTTAGATACACTAAGACACCTCCAGCACACACCACCACAAATACGAGAGCCCTGTTCCTCATCAGCCCTGGCCGCCCACCTATGAGAGCGGTAGATCACTACTTGTCACCGTGTACCAGTTACGTTAACCCAGGAACAGGAATCTTACGTCCATATTTCACTCTTATTCACATCTTACCTAAAAATACTTACCATTTCTCTCTTTAATTCAGATATCTAGCCCCCAAAATACTTCAATCTTCATTCTAATAGTCATAATACCTACACAAGAATATATACAATGACCAGAATATAATGAAAACAAACGTATTTTTTTCACAAGTGCGCCAACAATTGTACAGCGGTCGTGTGTGCGTTTTTATCATAACACCTTTGATAAGAGTTGTGGTTAATGATAAAAGACACAATGCTTAACGTTAACCCGACCGAATATATAGTGTTTTATAGTGTTTAATTATAGTACTACCACGACCATTACCACCACGAACCACCGCCCGCCAAACACGCACTTCATTCACTGCACACACACTCACACCTGCTGTAAGCGCTCAGTCTTTCCCAATGAATCTGTATCTGTGCCGTGTCCGACCAATACAGTGTTGCGTGCTGCATGGTTACAGGTGTAGTGCTGGCTGTTGTGTCGCGTGGTGTACAGGTGTAGTGCTGGCTGTTGTGTCGCGTGGTGTACAGGTGTAGTGCTGGCTACAGGTGGTGGGTGTCGCGTGAGGTGTACAGGTGTAGTGCTGGCTGTTGTGTCGCGTGTGATGCGGACGTTGTGTACTTCCTGTGAGAGACGAGTTAATGGAAGATATTTACAGTGAAGAAGATATGGTCCAGCAAAGTGTGACCAAAGCGTATAATTTTGTGGCAATGCAGGTATGTGTGTTAGTGATGGAGGCAGGTACATGTAGACGTACATACAGGTGTGACGCGGACAGGTGTGGGTTATGTTTAAGTGTGTGTACTGTACTGTATGACGGAGTTGTGGAGGTAGATGTAAGAGGAAATATTTTGAGAAGGTAGTGTGAACACTAGTGTGGAAAGGGAAGGTGAGAATGCAGGTGTGTGTGAGGGAGCTCCTGCTGGCCGCCAACACCGCCAGGCTGGGAGGGAGGGAGGCAGCGGCCGCCCTCAGGGACTCCGCACGCGCCCTTCTTGCCAACCTTCACAAATAATCTCGCATTTTTTTACTATTCGTGTCAACCATCAGTAGAAGGACTGTGAGCAGGGACACTCCGAGAAGAAGGTTAGGTGACTGTAATACACAACTGTGGTACTCACCCCGACCAGAGCGGCCCACGAACCGCAGATCGTTGAATTTGGCGATTTGGTTCTTCATGACGGCCGAGTTGTTGCGCAGCTCAGCGCAGAAGTTTTCATCGTTTCCGGCACGGACGGTGACGAGTGTGCCGTCGCCCACCTCGCCCAGGGCGATCACCTTGAAGGCGACGGGCAGCGTCTTGTTGGACCGCCAGTGGGGCGGTAAGATGGTGCACACGAAGTTGGGGCTTCCCGTGCGCACCAGCTCCCCCGGGTGCTCCCCTAGCAGCTCCGTCAGGGCCCGCTCGGACCACCAGCAGTCACCCATCTCCTCCCCCAGGTGCATCCTGCTGCCCCGCCAACTCACTCTGCTCTCCTTCGAGCTTCACTCTCCCCGGGGCTCCTGGCCTCTCACCAGGGGCCTCGCACTACTGTACCTCCCCAGGGCGCTCTCACAGCCCCTAACTACACTCTCACTGCGCACTAGACCCACACACCCATGAGTACACTCCGTCACCTCCTCCCCCGGGGTGGCGCCCCTGCACGTGTTGCTGATACACCCGCGTCAGTGCCACTGGCTCAAGAAGCCGCAGCGTTGCACGTGGACAAGCGTGGCGGCGGCGGTCGGGAACCACGGGTGTAGTTGCGTGTGACCGCAGGCAGTGGTTGCGGGAGTGCAGGTGTGTCAGAGGTGAGGGTGTTGTGGGCGCGTGGAGCCGCCGTGCTGCGGGCGGTGTGTGCGGCTGTGTCCTCAGGGCGCGCGGGTTCACCACTGAGCCCCGCCGGCCTCGCGCTCCTCACTCACGCGCCGCTCACCACACCTGCGCATGCGCACACCGCACCAGACCACCTGCACGCTCACTCCCACCGTCACTCTCTCAGGATAACACACACCTCCGTAAAGTCATGTGCACTCAATGTTCCACCCACCATACACTCAATGTTCCATCCACCGTGAACTCAATGTTCCACCCACCGTACACTCAATGTTCCACACCACTGTACACTCAATGTTCCACACCACCGTACACTCAATGTTCCACCCACCGTGCACTCAATGTTCCACCCACCGTACACTCAATGTTCCACCCACCGTGAACTCAATGTTCCACCCACCGTACACTCAATGTTCCACACCACTGTACACTCAATGTTCCACCCACACCGTCACTTTACGAGTTACCATATACAATATACAAAACAATATATCCATTATCAAGGCTAATCTACATTGTCTCAACACCACGCTGCTGATAAACACTCATACGCCACACCTTATACACCTGATCCCAGACACCTGCCACAACATACCTGAAGCCCAAATATCTCTTCCTCTATCTAATCTACAATAATCATAACTACGATTTTTTGTACATCATTAAAACAAAACAAAAAACAGTTGCTAAGTAATTCATGACGATAATACAGCTCAGGTAAAGACTATAGACCCATCATTATATCTCACCTGTTAACACCACACCTCACATTCATACATAAACATCAAATCACACCCAAAAACAAATCACCATACAACTTCACAGTAAATTACCACATTACTAACACATAATCCACCTTTAAACAGAAGCAAAAAGCAAAACACAAGGAAAATCACCTAAGAATCACCTCATTTTCCCCCATTCAACTTTTTTTTCCTCTTTCAACTTAATGCCTTATTATTTCCCCCCAACAGAAAAACTCATCTGTGTGGTAAAAAGTCGCCATAAGAACTGGTAAGAGAGGCAGCGCGCCGCACATCATCAGGGTGTAAAAGAGAGCAGTAATGATAGTACTGATAAAATTGATCTTCCCGTTTCACTAAGTACAGCAGTGGTGGTGGTGGTATTCCTCAGGGTAGAGATTCATATGCTGTCACCTATTGTTTGTGGGTTGTTTTTAATTACAGGTGTTGTGTTATTTATTACAGATGTTATAGTTTTTATAACAGGTGTTTTTGTTTTTTATTACAGGTGTTATGTTTTTTATTACGTTATTTTTTATTACATGTGTTATGTTTTTTTATTACAGGTGTTATGTTTTCTGATTACAGGTATTATATTTTTGATCACAGGTGTTTCTTTTTTTCCAGGTATTATGTTTTTGATTACAGATGTTTTTTATTACAGGTGTTATGCTTTTTAAGTTTTTTTATTACAGATGTAATGTTTTTTTTTATTACAGGTGTTGTGTTTTTTATCAGATGTAATTTTTTTATTACAGTTGTAATGTTTTTTATTACAGGTGTTTTTTTACAGGTGTTTCTTTTTTTATTACAGTTGTTTTTTATTATTACAGTTGTTTTTTTATCACAGGTGTAATGTTTTTATTACAGGTGTTGTGTTTTTTATTACAGGTGTTGTTTTTATTACAGACAAGCTGCCAGCGCCTCCACACGTGCAACATCTATGGACAGCCCTGCCGGTCCCGTATCGGCCTCTCGAGTCACCTCAGAGCTCACTAACGAAGGTGACATCCTTAATAACTTTTACCATTGTATCATAGCTGGATGATCGTCAAACTCGATTCCGAATGACAGCAAAATAGTATTAGTTGTGGTAGTAGCAGTAGTAGTAGTAGTGTGTAGGGGGAGGGCGGTGTCTGTATGTGTATGCATGACAGACACATACGTATGTATTTTTATGTATGCATGAACGAGAGATAACATCATCAAAACACACAACAGATTTCAATACTTCTTCACTCTTCCCTAATATCAAACCTAATGTAACCTAACGTAACCTAACCTAACCCACCCTAAACCTAACCTAGCCTCCCCGATTTACACAAAAAATTTAATCCTGGAAAAAACACCAGCAAAAATGAATAAAAAAATCAAGAGTAATAATTCAAATGCCACTTAGATGTGCATGAGAGACTACCGCGCAAAAACTCGCCCACAAAACCACTACTGAGACGCTAACTGGGAACGATATAATATTTGGGCTAATTCAAGATTTGCCAAGTTCTGATATCTGAGTTCATTATTCTGTCCCCGTGGAAGCTTTTAGAGGCTTTTGGAGGTTTGGAGGTTTGGAGGCGTGGAGGTTTGGGGGCTTTTGGAATAATAGAGGCGCGGAGGCTTGGAAGCGTAGAAACTTTTGGAGGCGAGTCACACAAGCCAGTCCCTACGTGCTGGCTTATACAAATTATACCAATACAGTTGAATACCTCTATTTAATGGACTATTTGGAGAGGGAAGTCCGTTATATCGAGGTCCCGTTACATATGAAACCCCACATTTAACGGATTATATAGATGAAAGTCCATTATAACAAGGGTCCGTTATCTGAAAACCCACATTTAACGGATTATATATAGAGAAAAGTCCGTAATACAGAGGTTTCACTATATTAGCTTATATTCTACTGTTTCAACATTACGTAACTCTTCCCTCTTATATGTGACAGTGTAACGTCTTCTATATTAGGTGTGACAGTGTAACACATAATAGTGGTGAGTGTGTAACGGGTGACGGTAGGTGAGCAGTGATGAGAAAACGATCAATAATTAATACCCAGCTGCCCATAAAACAGCTTAACAGCGTAAAAAAAAAAATCATTATATTACGTGAGGCAGAAGCAGACAGAAATTGAACAGATATTGGACAGAAACTGACAGAAATTGGACAGAAATTGACAGAAATTGGTTACAGACACGAAGTATGTGACAGAGAGACACAATAGGTCATAACTATTTTATGAACTATTTACCAAGATTTTCTGCATTATGACTTCCACCGCCGGGATATTCAATCTTTATATTATTATCCGTGTGTGTTGACTCAAAACAACGGGTTCGTTCCCGAGGTTCAAGTCGACGTTCTCTCGGTTGGTCAGTGACTCGAAGCGTGGTTCATTCTCACTTTGTCAGTCGAGGCGTCGTTAAGTGTAAACAACAAGTGAATGTTTCTCGTGACCTTCACAACACCCATCAGAGTCTTATTCTGGACTGAGTTTCGAACCTGTGTCTCACCTATGTCTCACCTGTGTCTCACCTATATCTCACCTATGTCTCACCTGTGTCTCAACTATGTCTCACCTGTGTTTCACCTGTGTCTCACCCGTCCCTCACCTATGTTTCACCTGTGTATCACCTGTGTTTCACCTGTGTCTCACTTATGTCTCACCTATATTTCACCTGTCTCACCTATGCTTCACCTGTGTCTCACCTGTGTTTCACCTATGTCTCACCTGTGTCTCACCTATATCTCACCTATGTCTCACCTGTGTCTCACCTATGTCTCACCTGTGTCTCACCTATATCTCACCTATGTCTCACCTGTGTTTCACCTGTGTCTCACCCGTCCCTCACCTATGTTTCACCTGTGTATCACCTGTGTTTCACCTGTGTCTCACTTATGTCTCACCTATGTTTCACCTGTGTCTCACCTATGTTTCACCTGTGTCTCACTTATGTCTCACCTATGTCTCACCTGTGTTTCACCTGTGTCTCACCTGTGTCTCACCTATGCTTCACCTGTGTCCTCACCTGTGTTTCACCTGTGTCTCACCTATGTCTCACCTGTGTCTCACACCTATGCTTCACCTGTGTCTCACCTGTGTTTCACCTGTGTCTCACCTGTGTTTCACCTGTGTCTCACCTGTGTCTCACCTGTGTCTCACCTGTGTTTCACCTGTGTCTCACCTATGCTTCACCTGTGTCTCACCTGTGTTTCACCTGTGTTTCACCTGTGTTTCACCTGTGTCTCACCTGTGTCTCGAAGTAACAAAACAAATGAAGGGTGTGATCGAAAACCTTTTAATGCTTCAAAAGAGCCACGTGTTTATTAAGAAATATTTCATAAGACAACTTCAGGGTTGTAATTGTTTGTGGTACAGGAAACAGTCTAAGGTTTTATGACGCCAGCTTTCAGGGTTTCAGCTGGACAATGGCTAAATGTCAATTACCTCTCTCTCTCTCTCTCTCTCTCTCTCTCTCTCTCTCTCTCTCTCTAAGTCTATTTATATCTCTCTGTCATTATCTATCACTCTCTCTTTATCTGTCTGTCTGCCTGTCTCTTAGTTGACAGGGAAAGACTTAGTGTTGTCAGATAACACAAGACTCACACAAGAAAGAGGAACAGGTCTTAGTTGACGCGGTTGAAGGACTATTCTTGGCTGGTATAAACTTCAAACTTGTACAGATAAACAATACACAAACTTCATCATTACGAAGATCAGGTTATGTATTACTTAACTATTGCTGACTGCTGTTACCTCGTCTGCTACTGTTCCCTCGTCTGCTACTGTTCCCTCGTCTGCTACTGTTCCCTCGTCTGCTACTGTTACCTCGTCTGCTACTGTTCCCTCGTCTGCTACTGTTACCTCGTCTGCTACTGTTACCTCGTCTGCTACTGTTCCCTCGTCTGCTACTGTTCCCTCGTCTGCTACTGTTCCCTCGTCTACTAGTTACCTCGTCTGCTACTGTTCCTCGTCTGCTACTGTCCCTCGTCTGCTACTGTACCTCGCCTGCTACTGTTCCTCGTCTGTTACTGTTACCTCGCCTGCTGCTGCTACCTCGTCTGCTACTGTTACCTCACTGCTCTGTTCCCTCGTCTGCCTGTTACCTCGCCTGCTGCACCTCGTCTGCTACTGTTACCTCGCCTGCTGTTCCCTGTTACTACTGTTACCTCGCCTGCTGCTGTTACCTCGTCTGCTACTGTTACCTCGCTGCTACTGTTCCCTCGTCTGCTACTGTTCCCTCGCCTGCTACTGTTCCCTCGTCTGCTACTGTTACCTCGTCTGCTACTGTTACCTTCTACTACTGGCCTCGCCTGCTACCCTCGTCTGCTACTGTTACCTCGCCTGCTGTTACCTCGTCTGCTACTGTACCCGCCTGCTACTGTTCCCTCGTCTGCTACTGTTACCTCGCCTGCTACTGTTCCCTATCTGCTACTGTTAAACTCTACTGTTACCTCGCCTGCTACTGTTCCTCGTCTGCTACTGTACCTCGTCTGCTACTGTTACCTCGTCTGCTACTGTTCCCTCGTCTGCTACTGTTACCTCGTCTGCTACTGTTCCCTCGTCTGCTACTGTTACCTCGTCTGCTACTGTTCCCTCGTCTGCTACTGTTCCCTCGTCTGCTACTGTTCCCTCGTCTGCTACTGTTACCTCGTCTGCTACTGTTACCTCGCCTGCTACTGTTCCCTCGTCTGCCCCCCTGTCTGTAGGTGGTAAGGACACAGGTATTATATAAACTTACCTGGTGGTGCTGCCGTAGGGCCAAGTTGTCTGTCTCCCTCCTTCGCTCACACTCGCTGCCTCACTCACTCCAAGGTCATACTCCAGTATGTTCCTGCGGTCATACTTGAGCGTAATTCCTCGGTCTCATCTGAAAGTTATTGTTTTTATAACGAATTATTATTATTATTATTATTATTATTATTATTATTATTATTATTATTATTATTATTATCATTACATACACTTAGATTAATAATAATAACAATAATAATAATAATAATAATAATGAGAGCGAGCGAGAGAGAGAGTTCTGACATTATCTTATATATAAATCGTATTACAATGGATAAGATTATTATTTTTAATCCCAGGATCATTAACAACGAGAACATACTGAGTCAGGATAAATAAATAACATAGTTTATACTTAACCCAGGATGGACAAAGGTGAACTGTTTTATTCCCAAGACGATCAAGAAAGTAGTGGTTAATACTTATCACAGGGTGGACAAAGGTGAACTGTTTTATTCCCAGGACGGTGGAATAAGTGGTAATTACTAAACCCAGTAGCTATGATTAATCCCAGGACGATGAATAACGTTCAGTGTTAGCCCGAGGAGGATGACAGCTGTGTGATGGAGAGCGGAAGATGGTGTGTGTGAGTGTGTGTGTGTGTGTGTGTGTGTGTGTGTGTGTGTGTGTGTGTGTGTGTGTGTGTGTGTGTGTGTGTGTGTGTGTGTGTGTGGGTGTGTGTGTGTGTGTGTGTGTGTGTGTGTGTGTGTCGTGCTTGCGTGCGCGTGTGTGGTGTGGTGGAGTGTGTGTGTGTGTGTGTGTGTGTGTGTGTGTGTGTGTGTGTGTGTGTGTGTGTGTGTCCGTGCTTGCGTGCGTGTGTGTGT